ATTATTAATAAAGTACTTTTTTTATTATCACTGGTGACTGTTGTAGCTGAATTTATTGGTGAAAGATTTTTCCGAATGGAACCACTACAGGTTGGTACGAAGTTTGAAAATAATTTTCAAGTTTCAGAATGTTATTTCTATTTAAGATGGCAAATGGCACGAACTAGCGTGTTCGATGCAATCCATTGAAAAAATTCCAATTCTAAATATAAAAAAAATAACCAACAATGTCCATATATTTACCGATATAATTAAATATCAAATATATTATGTATATTATTTATAATATGTGTATTAATAAAGAACTTTACATTAAAATCATCTACAGTTCGTTAGTAGTAAACTTATTACTAGAAAATCTTAATAATCAGTAATAGAAAATCACCCAAATGTAATTCTGAAAGAAAAAAAAACTTTTTTGTTTATTGTTTTTCATTAACCTTGTATAGTAATCTGTAGCGTTTAGTTTATTACAATACAAAGTTGTTGTTTTTTTAAACGACGCTCTCGGTTGTACAAGGAGTTTCCTATCTGAGTGTCTCGTTAATCTATTTTTAATTTGGCACCGGCATGCGTCTGCTCGCATTTATCTTAATGATCCTAATGCCTTAGTCGGTCTGTATTGATGGCGTTGGAGTCATTCTTGTAGACAGGGGAAAACATGTTTTTTTAGAAAGTAAAGGCTGTCAATAGAAGGTTTTCGGCTGGTTGTGTTGATGTCCATAGGCAGCAACCGCTCCTTTGTCTAAATCTTTGATGGAAATAATGATAAAAGTAAATAAAAAAGATAAAGGTATGTAAACATTTAAACGATCTTCAGCTTTCAAGTATTCTTAAATATACACGTAAAATGAAGACTTATGTTTGTATATTTTATTTTTATTTGATTTAGCAGAGAAAAGTCTAGACCAGTGATTCTCAACCTTTTTTTTGTTGCGGCACATATTTAAAGATTTCAAAATATGGCGGCACACAAAAAAAAAAGATAAAAATTATTTACTTACTACAACACACTGCATAAATAGTTTATCAAAAAAATTTAATATACGAAATAAACTAAAATATACTATAATTTTTTTTTGTGGATTTAAATATATATTCATGTTTAAAATATTTTTCCTTTAAAATGATATAATTTACATTATTATTTACATAATTTACATACATTATTATATATTCGCAAAATTTGGCGGCACACAAAATTGCCGCGGAACAGTGGTTGAGAATCACTGGTCTAGACAAATTAAACTTAACGACGAAATCACCATAAATAATTTAATTATGTATGATAATCAACATAATATTGACGAATTTCGTTATACTGGTTATTGTCAATAATAGTTTATAGATTGTTTATATTATAATTTAAATAGTTTACGGTTCACTTAAATCAGAAGTAGTAAATGTGCACATTAACTTAGGAAAACACAATTATTACGGAACGGAAAATATAAAGAAAGCACAATAGTCGTATTTGGCGGATATCTCTATACGTACATATATGTATATCGCTCGCACATTTTAGAGTAGGTCCCAAATAAAAACTGGCCAAACTTAGTTTAACTTCAAGAATACAACAAAATAGGATATAAATAGAGTCTAATATAATATAAAAAGAAAATAGAATAAGAGAGAGTACGCGTATATTTTTTTAGATATTAAAGTGTACGCTTATTACGTCGGAGTATAAAAGGCTTATTTGCTTTAAGCGAGATTTTGCTTAATACGCGATATTAATCTTTGTAATTAAAGGTCCGTTCTATTTAGTATCAGTATCAACAAATCGATGCTTTTAATTGAACTTCAATTACGTTTTCCCCATTCAAATAGCTGAAGAAGTTTTTTTTTAATAAATAAAAAAATATCATTATTTTTTTCAAATTTTAAATTTGCAAATTGTCGCTTAAACCAAATAGTCTTTCACGCCTGGATATGTACAATAAATAACATTTAGTAACGATATCGTATTTATTATCATTTTTTATTACTACGTATTAAAATTGCGTGAAAGACGATGTGGGTAGGAGAGGAGTGAGCGAAGAAATGGTATATGATAGAGGAGTATGGAAGGAGAAAACATGTTGCGCCGAGCCCAGGTGACTGGGAGAAGGGCAGGATAATGACGTATATTATTTCCACTATGTAACGATATATAGTTTCTATTGCATCATATCTCGACATCATTTTCCAATCACAAAATAATGAAATGAATAACAATGAAAGCTTCAATCTCAACTTAAAAATGTATGTTTAAAGGCAATACAATGTAATAGTAGTAGTCTGTAAAAAACAGATTTCTTCTCATCTTCGCTATGCATGTATGTGTGTAGTATGATAATTTGATTAAAAGTGATTCAATTGCGTGTGCGTATGTGTGTGTGTATTATGAACAAACACGCGTGCGATGCGTTTTCTGTTACGGTAATCCTATACACCGCAACTGGTTTTGCTTTATCATCGTAAATGAATGCTTTCGTTTATTCGAAATTTCGGTATTGACATTGATTCTTATTTATTTTATAATTATCTTCTCCAATATGGACGGTATTATTGTAGGGTTTTTATGAAAGTTGTGGAACAACTTTTTTTTTAAATTAGTTTAGATATGCGAGCTCATAAATCACTCGGGTTATACTGGAACCTGTAGATATCACAACCTAGATGCTGTAATCAATCTCCCATAAAATGCGAGTCGTTACAAATTTGGGTAGTGGTTCGATAAAGCGGCACGACACGAGAACACTCTCATCGTGGCCGCCGGTAACTACATTCCCGATCCTGCGGAAAGAATGGAAAGCAGTCGACGTCGCCCCAAACACGTCATTTCGGATTCTCTCGATCCACTAACGGTGCTTTTAGGTACCCCAAGCACCGGTCACCGTTCTCGTCGAACCCGTCGCTTGCGACGAAGGGCGCAACGAATAAATTAACCCTCAGACACAGCCCACTGAGTTTCTCGCCGGATCTTCTCAGTGGGTCGCGTTTCCGATCCGGTGGTAGATTCTGCGAAGCACGGCTCTTGCTGGGTTCGTGTTAGCAACGTCGTCAGACTCATCGTCATTGGGTCGCGTTTCCGATCCGGTGGTAGAATCTGCGAAGCACTGGTCTTGCTAGGGCCAGTGTTAGCAACGCACCCGGTTTGAGCCCTGTGAGCTCACTTACATGTCAAGAAATTGAAATAGCCTCTCAAGGCTATCAGCTTAGGTAGGAAAAAATATATTGGGGTGCGGCATTAATAGGTAGCACCGTTCGTACGAATTACCCGTCTGTGAGCTCACAAAACCAGTATTGAAAGTTGCATTGGCATGAGGTACTTATAATAGAATCCATTAGATACACCGCCAGACAGGACGTCTTACACGGGTTCCGTTTCTTGTCATTTGACAACGGAACCCTACAAGTTGGTTGATTTAACATCAAATTTTTACGTTTACACACGCTATAAGTTTCGCAAAATCTATGCAAAAAATCCAGTTTGTGGCTATTCGACAAAAAATTTCAGAAATTTCAACAATTGTACAAACAATCAATTCGATAGGATAAACAATACACGAACGTGAACAAATAAATATTGAAACTAAATTTTGGGAGACTAAATTATTTATAATAATTAGGTATAAGAGCATTTTGTGTTCTGTTTTGCTATTGAAACTTCGAATTCATATCTCAAAAAGGTACAACATTATCTATAATCAGTTTATCAATATAAATCTCATTTAATATGTCGTAAAATAGAACTTAATTAGAATGTATTTGACTGACGTCAATTGTGTTATGGGCAAATTAGGACAAGGCTTCGTATCAGTTCCAGCTACTGATCAATGTGTTGACAATAAGCGGACGTTGCCATAATGTATTGGACGACGGTGCTACAGACAATAATTCGACCCTATTATGCAGAACATATCCAATCAACAGTTTCAGAAATTCAAGTTAGACGTTACGCGAAAATGGGCATAACGTGATTCAGATTAGTCCTTCAGAGTCCATTAAAGACAGCGATGCGCGAATATTATAAATATATTTTACTATTAATTTGAAGTCGTATCATTCATTCTACTGCCAAACCAGTTGTGCAGTTTTTTAGTGCCCAAACGTAATTTACTTCCTAAATGTACTACTGCTGTTTACTCGAAAATAATAAAACTATGCTTGGTTCGTTTCTGCATAACACGGTCGAATTGCAATGGACATTAACAGGTTAAATGGGTGTTCTATGATTACAGTAATGATCTTTAATTAATTATCTTTGTATCGTTATTTCGTAATATAATAAAGGGGGCGGGCTCAATGACTCCAAGCTTTTTAAATTTTAGGTCCGAAGGTAGTCTCTGGATTTTTACCTAGACGTTGAGGAGAAGTTGACAGGGCACGTGGGGTGTGATTTATTAACAGCTGCCCGAGCGCCTCCGGCTTAGACCTAATAGCTCAAACGCAGCTGCATCGCGAATACATCTAGTACCGGATTGTAATTGTGACCTGCTGAGAAGATCCGGCGAGAAACTCAGCTGGCTTATGTTATGCGTTAGACTAGTTAACTGTACTCTTCCAAGAGTTCGACGTGTACGGTTACCGCGATCCCTATATCTGCTCCACTGTGTTAGGCTCGCCACTGTTAATAAGCAACGAACTCCTCTACCTTCAGGGCCCACAGTACAGTAGTCCGAGCGATCACTACACCAAATGTCACATAATTACCGCATTTACCATAAAATTTTATATGTGACTAGCCGTACTCGTCCGCTTCGCTGGGTATTTAAAATTAACATTATTATTTATTGTCATTATTATTAGGGAGTCTAACACTCATATAAATATTAGCCTATCCATTAAGTACATGTATTTTCTACGTGGATACCAAGTCTCAAGTCAGTCGGATGCATGTTTCAGTTGTTATAACGGAACATCCTTTAAAAATCACTGTAGATTTTTATATTATAATACTATAAATATTCTGTATTTCAGAATGATAAGTGATATTTTTCTCATTTTTGTTGCAGTCGAAACAGCGGGCTTCAATAAAATGGTTGTTATCGAAGGCCTTCAATAACAGAGTTCCGGAAAATCTACAGGAGCCGTTCTACAGAGATCACGAGGTGAGGAATACATTATTTTGTACGTATTGATATTACGAGATACTCATTTAGTTCCTTATCGTTAACCTTATTTTCGTATAAAAAGTAATCGTGTTAATATACTGCACACCGTGAGCACTGATAAATATAATTCACTTGACCATCTATGTGCATATGAGCGAATGAAACTGACAATTTTTAGTAGGTATTTTGTTTTGGATCACTTTGAAACTCACCTTAAGAGCTGGGCTTCAAATGAAAGTGTGAAATAATTTACAAATCATGTAAAGATTAGCGGGAGGCCTACCCACAAGATGGATCGACGATCTATTGAGACGAGGCTCGCGGAAATCCGCTGCAGTGCAGGACCGGTCTTTGTGGCGAGGCTTAGGGGAAGCCTATGTCCAGCAGTGGACGTCTGTGGGCTTGTAAGAAGAAGTAAAGATTAGTGAATATATAAATCAGCAGTAACGATGGGATTGAGGGTCTTGAGAGTCTGTTAAAATCGAAAAGTTTCTTTATTTACCGAATTTTTAAAGTCAAAGGAGATTGAAAAAGTAAAATAAAACCAAGCCAAATATAACGGAAATCTGAAATACTAGAAAGATTTTTAAATTCGTTTGATACGGATTAAGGTTTTCGTCTTATTTGTATTTTGCGACGTAATGTCGTCTTAGATTTTGTTAGCTCTTTTTTAATTTGCCTAAGTGGGTATTAGGCTATTATTAAAAACAAGTCTAATCGTGTCTCTGATATACAGTCGTGGCTACGACTTTAGACAATCAATTTAAAAAAAAATGCTTTGCAATTTTAAAAAAACTACGACTTTGTATGTTCCTGAACATTTAGGTCGTAGGATTGATAGTTGGTTAACAATGCATTTCTAGAAATGTTTGAATTGGTGACAGTCAACAACTCTATCCTGACTAACAGGCAAAGAACCTGGAGATTTGAGGAAGATATACTCTTTTATTCCACCTCCTCCTCCTAAAGGATGGAAAATATTTTCGATTTTTTGAGTCATGCTCATGCCTCATTTTAAATACATAATAATACTTTTCATAAGCAACACATAACGATTATTTCGTTATTTTTAATAATTAATTGCGAGGATAACCGCGGACCACACCTTGTATATTGTAAAATCTTTGAATATTATTTCATTCGTCATAACTGATAAACGTTCTTCCGACTCTAATGGATTGTTGACCTGAATTACTTTTTGGATCGATTCTTAGATCAGTTTCTATTTACCATTAAATAATTGTTAATGCTTATATCGTTTTTTTTTTGGAAATTGGTAACTCATAACGAATTTTAATACAATGAGATCGCCAGTGACTGTAAAGCTCGCGAGTAATAAGGAAATTGTATGGTGTACATTAGAATACCGTGAAACAAGAGGTCCTTTATAAATCAATACTACTGTGCTTTCAGTTATTTGAAAGTTACATCTGTCTACGCAGTTCATAGTATCGTTTATTGTCAATTGTGTAGTGTATAGCATAATTTTTAACAAAATCTTTATTGTGTGCCGGATTGTTGTGTTGGAAACGTCCGCAATTTCAAGCTCCCGTGGCAAAATGGTACGAAATTCGGTGTGCTTGCATCGATGATGCAATGATTCGAGGTGATTGAGGATAGGTACTACAATCTTGCGTTTTCGTATGATGAAGCAACTGCTCATTCCTGTTTTAAGGGCGTAAAAGCCGTTATAAAATACAAATGTGACTTCAGCCTTGTGTCGTAACTCGTAAGATAGGTTACGGAATTCATATTGCAGTGATATAGCTGCGGAAACCATCTAACATCAGGTCATCCGTGGGCGTGTGTGGCGCATCTACCGACTAAAAAAAAGAAATAATCACTTGCAATGGATAAAGTAAAGATTAAAAATTATATTTTTTATTATAAGCTTGTCTTACATTGAAAATATGTACGAGTTAATTTGACATTTATTTATACCTAACGCAGTATACAGTTTTGAGATGATAGAAGTACTACACCAGTAATCCTTCAGTCATATTATACTATTATACCGCTCTAATCACCGATATCGCCTACATTTTAGACAAATATTAATAAAGTAATAAAGATAAACAATATTTAATATATTCTCAATTTGACCACAGACTATAAGCAATAAGAAAAGTTTGACAATAAACAAATAGTATGCGTGCGTGTGTAATGTTTTTTTAATTGATTTAATGTATTTTTTATGCATAATTATAAAAAATATTAGTATTCTGCACTCCTTCTCTATATTCTCTGTAAATGTGGGAAATTTCATAATCTTTCGTCCGCGTAATATTCGTAAAAAAGGGTACATAGTTTTTGCTTTACGTATTAATATTTAGATTATAGGACGTCGAACGTGGATTTCATTACCCGTTTTGTCTTTAATTTTGGTATCGCCCTTGAGTGTCCCATGTTCAGTCGAATATTGATCCGTACCACGGCTGCCCGGAGTCGGTACAGCTGAAGTCACGCGAGGCTACGTTCAGTGCCGAAGAACCGTGCTTTTGGGAGTGCCGACTCATTACGTGTTCGCGGGTGTGCTAACCAAATAACGTTTAAATGCGGTCAGGGTGTGAAATGTCATGGCTGTCACTAAGCGTGAACGAAAGCAAAAAAACAAACGATATGTAGGTATTAAATTTATATGAGAAAAAAAAGATGCTTTAACACCCCTTGTTGTTGTAACAAGACAAAGTATTTTTTCTTTATTAAAATTTTTCTTATTTTATTTTAATTAATTGTCTTGGTAAGTGAGCAATTTTTTTTCGAGTTTTTTTTTTTTTTTTATTGCCCTTGTAGGCGGACGAGCATACGGCCCACCTGATGGTGAGTGGTTACCGTCGCCCATGGACTTCAGCAATGCCAGGGGCAGAGCCAAGCCGCTGCCTACCGAAAGTTAATTGAACATCTTGAACTTGATGAAAACTACGTTAAGGATTACAGTTACATAGCTGAACACAAAGCCAGTAAAAATGCGTTTCAAATTTTTTTCTTTTTCATGTCCTTATCCCACATAATTTGGAGTCGCAGCATACTCTCTCATCATGCTTCATAGGAATTTGTCATGAGTTTTACGACTGGGCGCCTGTTTGACGTTAACCTTCCTTGGATTATATCTTTAGTAGTATATCCATTGCAACGTGCCACACGGACTAACTTTCTTTCTTTGGTATTTCTTGTACTGCATTCGTTTTTTATTCTATGAATTGTATTTCATCATTTGTACTAAAATTTTAGATTTTGAAATCCCAAAATATAAAAAATATCACATTTTTCATAATAAAGTTAAAATGTTATTTTGTTGCCAAACAGATTATGGATGTAAATAAAATGTCAATAACCCTTGTTCTGGAATAATACCTTATTGGTGAGACTAATATAGGAAACGCACATACATTACTTATTCATGGAATAAAAATCATCGAGTGAATTCGGCTAGCAGCAACCTGCAAGGAATGTTTATATAGATCGTTACCAGCATAGGTGATCGCTGCGTCAAGTCTGCGCCATAATCTAATTTTCAAGCACGTGTCAAAGTTTAAGTAAAAGAGTTAACATCTGAACTTTCACTTTATCACTGGTGGTAGGACCTCTTGTGAGTCCGCACGGGTAGGTACCACCACCCCGCCTATTTCTGCCGTAAAGCAGTAATGCGTTTCGGTTTGAAGGGTGGGGCAGCCGTTGTAACTATACTGAGATCTTAGAACTTGTGTCTCTGGGTGGGTGGCGCATTTACGTTGTGGATGTCTATGGGCTCCAGTAACCACTTAACACCAAGTGGGCTGTGAGCTAGTCCACCCATCTAAGCAATAAAAAAAAAAGATACAGCGGAATAGTTCAGATAAAGCGCCGATCGCATAGTTGACCAACGCTAGAAGTCTCCGTAAAGAAATGTGATTGAATATAGGTATATATAACGTATCTGGAAGATATAATTAAATTATTGGAACTCTGACATGTTGCACGTTTAAACCATTGATCATTATTAAAAAATAATTTCTAGCTTTTCCCAGCAAATCGAGTGTTGGTACAAAAATTGGATTGCACATGTGAACGTTAACATTATTTAAGGCAGTTCGTTCTCCGTGTGTCATAAAAATAAAGTCTCTTATTGCTTCCTTATTTCTAAACCCATTTTAATTTTATACTCCTACGTTTTATATTGACGAGACACAAATATGAACACTTGGCAAGCGAAATTTCAGTTAGAACTATTAAATTTTACATTATCTGTATTTTGCTTTGAATCGGATATTTAATTAGCTCATGCCCAAGATGTAATATTTTGAGTAATATCACTCCAATGCTCAGTATAGTTAAGGGTCTATTGCCCAAAACACGTCATCTCGGATCCTCCCGATCCACTATCGGTGCTTTTAGGCACCGGTCATCATTCTTGTCGAACCCGTCGCTTGCGACGAAGGGCTCGGCGAGTAAATTAATCCACAGACACAGCCCACTGAGTTTATCGCCTGATCTTCTGGGTGGGTCACGTTTCCGATCCGGTGGTAGATTCTGCGAAGCACGGCTCTTGCTAGGGTCAGTGTTAGCAACGTCATCAGATTTGAGACCCGCGAGCTCACCTACCAATTCGGCGAATCTAGTATAACGTCTCGAGGTTACTAGAATAGGTAGGGGAAAAAAAGGTCTATTGTTTTAATGTAAAGGCGAATTTCGATTAATGCAAGCCAAGTTTGTCGTCGTTTGTCGTTGCGTTGATGATTGGTTGAGTTCTCAGAAGCGAGAATGTTTATCAACATCAGTATTTAGTGCGGATATTCATTTACGTTGTTGAGCTGCCAAAGAGTTCAAGGACCTATTTGCTTACAACTTGAATTCCTTGTTGCTATTCAAAATTATTTATATAAAGTCGTCTACTGGTTCGTCTTACGTGATATTTGATATCTAACGCATCCTGCTCTTACCGTAACGTGAAGCTCCATCTTGAGACATGAATTCGCAGTTTTGGGATATCTGCTATCCTGTATCGATTATCGGCTATT